TAATTATATTAATTAGAATTTGCTGATGATATAGAAGGTGCAAAAGAGACACCTGTGGTTCTGTGTTTATTTAAGTAGCTTTTTTGTTCATCCTGGCAAAATTCTGATACTCTCACAAGCTGCCTTAAGGTCTGTCTGCTCATGTCTGGCTGCAAGGATCAATTAAGGCATAGCAGTTGAGTTCCCTGCAATTGTGTATAAATAGAAAAGTAGCAAAAGAACCAGTCATTCCAACTTTCCCTTATTGGCACAGTAACAATTTATACTAATTGAGATTTCACTTGGTGTCTTTTTTTTTTTTCCTAATTTTGATGTAGAAAGCAGTTTATAAATGCTTGACCATTTGTATAATCTAAATACAGATCTTATTAGCTTCCTATTGAAGTTGGACAGTGGACTGTACTGACAAAAACCCACTAAAGACAACAGAGTGAAAAAAATAGGAACTCTAAAATAGGTGGGGGGGGCGTGGGTTGTCATACTTACAATCATATTCTCTAAAGCATGCTTTGCCAGCCAACAATTTAAAAATACAGGAATAAACAGATTTCTTAGGACTGGGCAGAAAATCTGAAAGAAAAATGAAGAAATTCATTAAAAGCTTTTCTATTCAAGAATAGAGCTTTTTGATTCAATCAGCAATGAAACACTTGGAAAAATGCTTATTATTAATGAGTTTCTAGTGTGAGTTATGGCTATAAATAACATTTTTTCTTCCTTTGAGATGAACTGTATGTAACATAATTTGATAAACAGGGACAGTCAGTTTTCAGTGCAGGCACCAGAGATACTTAGATTTTTATATCTAGCTGGTTTATTTTATTGACTGTACTGTAGTTTGAGTTAGGGGATTTTGGTTTTGTTCACCCCCTCTCAGGGAGGAAGGTGGTAGTGATTTGTATTACTGCTTCATTCAAATAGCAAACTATCTTCTTGTTGACAAACTTCTGTTCCCACAGGCAAAAATCTGTCATCCAGTTAAGATTCAAATTTGCTTTAATAAAAATAAAACCAAAGTGCAGCTATAGAAGTGCAATGTGAAAATGTATTAATTCAAAGATGTTTACCGTTATGGTGAAAGGGACAGCATTAATTATTTCCAGGAGAAAAGGTATTCTCAGAATTTGTTCCCAGATACTTCCCTTCAAAGAAAAGGAAAAAAAAAAAAAAACACCACTATGTCACAGCAGGCTTACATGTAGTTCTGATGAGAAATATATGCGATATTCCAATGACACATATGGAGACTCTCCCACTAGCTGAATTTCAGGAAGATCATTCATTTCCAATTTAAACACATATGCCAAATGTGAATATAATTCACTCCGGCCTGTTTTTCTTACAGTTTATCATAGTGTAACTCACAGGTAAAAATACATATTTTAAGATCTATATTTTTACTAGAGCATTTCTCTGTTTCTATATGGCCATATATTTCCTTGCTATGACCTAGTTAGTAAGACAGCTCAAATGAAGAATTCTAATTGCATTAACTAGTCAAATCATTCTCTCAGCTAATGAAGAGCTTCATTAAATTAAGTTTTCATTTTTTTCGGAGAACTATATGCTCCTGTTTTCTTCTATTGCATTTTTAGGTACCCTGGAATTTTACACAGACATCTTCTCTTTTTTTTTTTTTTTTTATTTTACTTTTATTTTTACATGCACACTCACACACAGATACGGAGGTGAGGTTCCTGTCTTAAGGAATTTGTCTCTTTAATAGTTGTTGGGTTTTGATGATTCTTCATACATGTAACAGACTACCCTCCTGGCAAATGCTTTTATCTGCAACTATTTCTACTTGGTTTTTTTAGAAGCCTCTAAATGTTTAAAATCCTGTATTATAATGCTTTAGTTCTACTATGCCAAAATTTTCCTTACCTTAATGCTCATTGACTTAGACTGTCTAAGAACTAGAGACAAAGCCCTGGTACAATGTAAGAGTTGCAGAGACATATATCCATAGGACATGCCCTGCTCAGAAGATTTTACCATCAGATCAACTGTTTTGATTACCACTGTACACAGTTGACAGCCTACAGTCCATATTAAAGCATTTTATGAATGATGAGCCACTCTTTGTACATCCTTCTGACAGAACTTCATGGCAAAATGTAAAGCAAAGAGGAATGCAAATATGTTGTATTTTCCAAAGAAAAAGTAACAGCTCGTTTTCTCTTAATCCTGTTTTATTAGCCTCTGCATGTTAGTTACAGAGGTCTAGGTATTTCTTTTTATTAATTCTAATTTTTCTATTAAGATATTCATTTATTAAGAAATAAGTTTTTATAAAGAGGAATGAAATTAAGTTAGGAAAAGATAGCAGAATTCTATAGTGAGTCTTTCCTTCCTTTGCATTTATCCCCTTTTAACTTTATTTTGTATTTTCTCTTTCCCAGCTGGTTTGGAGAGAGAAGTAAGGAAGGTAATCCAGTGTTTAATATTTGAATTAGGATTAAAAGATCAAAATTCTGTATTTCTGCTACACTTCAGTACATTTCATGGTTTTTTGGAACTCGATCTTGCTTACATGAAATTAGCGGTCTTCCCACATATTTCCATAAAAGTGGCACTGATCTTTTAATCAGCTTACTGCTAGCCACATGATTGGGATAATAGAACTTCTTTTCCACATTTGAGCAGTGACTGTGAATGATTAAATGTCAGGATGAAAATCTCATATATGTTTAAAAAAATTTATCTGTCACATATGAACCGAGACTCCTTTGGTCATTCTGGCCGTGCAGAAAGGCCTTACAGTGAGTAAAATAACAGCTGCCTTGGTTCCCTGAGACTGGTGTAAAACTGGGGTAAATGGCTCTATTCCAGATTGTAACTAAGAGGACAGAACCAGAGGAAAAGGGGTGTTGGCATCAGGTGGATTGCCAAAGTGCATTTCAGTACTATTATTGTTTCTTATATTACTCTTATTTCCTTATGGGGAGTGGAAATAGAGCCATCGTAACATTGCCTCAACCTCTGTGACAGGTATATGCAGCAAATGAGGATAGTAGAGCTTTACACCCATTGCACACTAGTAAGTAACTTTTCATGGGAGCTGACTTGACAATATTTCTCCCATCTTGCGTACTCACTGAAATTGATGCAGACCACAGGCAGAATGGATTAGAATAAGATGCTGCTCAATAAGATGAATAAGATGCTGCTCAATAAACTCAGTAACAGTATAAACTGGGATTACTCTCTACTGTTTTGGCACTAGATGTGTTAATTTTGGATTGTTTCTGCCTATACTTGCATTTCATTTGTAACCCCCAATGACTAAATAGCATACACGACTTGCAAGGATTAAGAAGAATAATTTTTAGACAGCAGACAGTTTTAAGCCTCTTAACATTATTGGGTGCTAAGGAAAACATTTATGCCATTATCACTTGGAAAGCACATTAAAGGACAACTCTCTACTTTCAGCGGTAACTCTGATAGTACTGAATGTCAGTAATACAAAAAAAAAAAAAGCTACAAGATATTTTCAGCTTTAGAAACCAAGTCTTTTCATCTTTACTTAGATGCATGATTTTAGATACTGAAGATACTGAAAATGCAGAGACCTAAAGCTCCTTAGGATAGCATATAACAAAATCTAATGAAAAAGAAAGGAATAAAAATATTAGGAAAATATTAATTTTTAAGAAAAATGCAAATACAAAAAATATTATATTCATATCAGATGATTTAAAGGCTTTTTGCAAAGATGTTCCAATAGCATCAGAGAGATGGATTACACAAGTACGTAGGTATCCATAATTTTAAAAAAAGGACTGTCTTGGCCTGTCTTTTTTGGTGTGCAGTTTTAGAGGCCTGAAACTGGAGTTATAGATATCGATTATCTTTGAGATAAATGAGAATCGTGTCCACTGCATTATGGATAGACATATAAAACTGTGCCCTTGAAAAACCAGTATCGAAAACTCAAGGTCACTTTTGAGAATGTTTCCAAATTGCAATGTGCCAGTGGACTATGGAAATAAATGGAAACTTATTTTTGACTTCCACTTTCTAGATATTACTGTTTGCTCATAAATTTGGGAAACACGAACAGGGTTGCCTGTAACAATATGCTGTCCTCAACATGTGTGTTTTTCTGAACTTCCTTTTTGTACATCAGTGTGTGCACAAGTGCAGGCATATGAATTTTATATTGAAACATTTAAAACAGTTACTTTTTGGGTAACTTAATTATGTCTAAAAGTAACTAAAAGTACTTACCTTATAGCTTAGATAACTCAACAGCAGAGTTTCAGAAAGACTTATTAAAGCCACAGAAACCTTAAGTGAAATGATAAAAAATGTGTATTAATATATGACAGTAAGCATTGCAATGAGGAACACAAAATAGCTTTTCCATGCATCCTCTGAAACTCTCATTTAGCATGAAGCTTAAATATTGTTATAGTTCTGACTAAAGCACAGGCTGTGATGTGAGTCTTGTTTCTCTCTTCCAAATCTAACACTCCAGAGAGCTCGCAGGGTGGACTTTCCATGTTTTTTAGAGAGCTCCATACAGTATGCCAGACTGTTTCTTAAGTTTCAATTGTCTTTTCTTAAAAGGTACCAAGATCTTTTCATAAGACAGAGAAAGGTAGAGAAGGAGGAAGCTGTAGATAATGGAAGCTAGTCAGCTTTTCACTTTTCTGTAAAGATGTTATGAATGTGTCAAAAACCAAATGCTTTTTTACTGTGTATAATTCAGAAAGTCAAAAACAGCAAAAAATTATACAGATGAATCATTATTGATTTTAATATTTAAATGCAAATAATATTTAAATAGTCAAATATCAAAATGGTAAAAAGCCTACTTAAAACTTCATACATATTAACCACAAAACTTACTTAAATCCCTTTCATAGCAATATTTGTATTTTAATGTATACTGTGATAATATTCTATTAAGAAGGTGTACAAACTCAGCTGCAGGCTGAAGTCACATGAGCCTCAGGATTTCTAATTTTAAACTAATGCTCACTACGACTGAAAACCCAGAAAAGTGCCCTATTGGCACTCACAATATGATTATCTAGAACTAAAAATGTTGCTATGAATTGAAATATTATTAAAATATGCAATGTTATTAAATATCGATATTATTAAAATATGCCATCAAAATATGATACCAGTTTCTCCAAATAAATATTACTGTTCTATATAAACTCAGGTTTTATCTCAAATAAAAATAAAACTTCGTTTGCAACTACTGTATATATCCTACAGTGTATGCATGTGTATACACACATACCTACACACGTAGGTAAGTTCCTATGTTTATCAAATAAACATATTTGAATAGGACTGTAACCATAAGCAAATAAAACTTGCAGTATTCTTAAATTGAATACAGTAATCTGAATGTCTAGGTCAAAATTTATTCAAACTGTGCATACTTTAAGCAAGGAATCGAAGGTATTTTCATCAAAGGATTCTTCCCTTAGTAAAGCTGTGTATTACACAGAGGTACAAACCATCATACTGGCATTGCACTAAGCATGGTGAAAGAATATAATGGTATAACTATTTTGGAAGCTTAAGGAATTCTTCATCGAAAAACACATTTCACAGGGACAGTTCCTACAGCACTCTCCACAAGTAAAAAAATTGTTCCTAAAATGAGCAGGCTGCAGGACACTGAGGATTAAACCACAAACTTCAAAAGATCTCCAAGGCCTACAAAGCACTGATGTAGTGCATCTTCTGTGACATACTCCTCTAAACATGTAAAGGCTCCTGTATTATGAAGTAAATTTAGCTTCCTAGTGTATTTAGCAAGTAAGTCCATGAAGCCTGTCAAAAGCTAGTCATAAGTAATTATGAAATTTAGACTCATCATTAGAGCAAACTATTGTGACTACTGGACTCAACAGAGCTTGATAATTCTAAGAGAAAAGGCTATCTAATTCTACAATATTTTGCTGTAAGCTCTAATATTTTATAAATATAATGTAAAGCCATATATAGTCAAATCAGTTAGCTCAGATAAGCTTATCTTTACGCTTTTGTTGTACTTGGTCACCAAGTAGATTTCTTTGTTAATAACAGCTTTTCCAAATATCCTTTAACATTACTAAAATGCTGTAAATCAATATTGTATACATTTATTAAATGGAAATAGTTTAATTGGCCATTTACATATTACCTGTAATCCCCATAAAGGCAAGCTTCGATTCACCCAAATAATAGGAGACCTGTTCATTATAATAACAAAATAAATATGAAATTAATCAAAATCTCATTAGTGTTCTGGACAAAATAATGAGAAAAAGAATTTGCACATGTGAATGTAAATTAGAGCAGACATTTAAAAAAAAAAAACTCAGTAATAAAAAATTTATATCAGTAGTTATCTACTGATTATTGATACCGCTTTATTTCTAATCCAGAGATGATCATCGAATCCCCATGGGAGTATAACACTCAGTAACACCAAAATCTTTTATTGCCTTCAGTGCCTGGTAGTCCATTCCCTATGATTCCAGAAAGAATAAATAAATCTGACCTTTTGGTTCCAGAGATGCAGAGGTATCATTACTTGTGGTAGGAAAATGAAACTTGACAATTTTTTTGTGTGTACCTTTTGTTACCTGTGTGACAGTATAAATGGTATCTAACTCATAGGGGCTGTCACATCTTGGAAAAAATTTCATGTTGTCTTAGCACTTACTAAACTCAATGATAACAGGCAATTGATACAGTACTACTGGAATCTGGCACACTCAATGGCACAGTAGTTTACTGTTAGTAATTTACTGCTAGTCATAACTGTTCTTAAATAAGGGCATCTGGGTTTTTTTCAGCAAGGTATAAGCACTGATGTAATTCAGATCCTACAAGAGCACCCAATCCAGCAATTTGTTTATGCAATCAGAGAAACAATTAAAATTTTAAAGGCAGTTTTGAATATTTAGAAACATGGAAGTAATTGCCCGAGAGTTATGGAAAACACTATTGTATGTTAAAATGCCACCACTGTAAATGGAAATGAATATATCTTCCATTTTCCTTCCCTTCCCACCATTATGTGGCCTTTTGGTTTGCATTTTTAGATTAGGAACTCACCAATCAATCGTTCCAGGTGTGTAGTTTTGATTGTAACAACTCCAGTTCAATTCCTTACTGGTAGTTGTCATCCCATCCATGCAAGGTCCATTTTCATTACGAAATGTATATGGGAACACAATCATAAAAACATATGGGAGTAAAGCGATATTAACTACATTTTTATCTATGCAATGCATGCAAGAGTTTGAAACCCTAAGCAATGGATATAGACATTTTAAAAAGTAGAATTACTTTTAGAGGGTAGTTCCGTATGTGTCCAGTATCTGTAGATAAAGGACTATGAAGCATTTCAGGTTACGTTATTTAAAGATCTATTTTCAAAGACGTTCCAATTTGAAAACAAAACAACTGAAATTATACTTTCAAAAGCTGAACTAAGTACACAAGATCAAGAGATACTAGAAATCCTCTCGGATAGGCTGGAATAGAAAGAGCACATATACCTGCCACACTCTCAACAGGAAAGATTGCATCAAACCACACTTTGTACCTTCTTGTGAGGATGTGAGGAGGGCTGGCGATTCATCCAGCAGTAATTCAAGTAAGAAACTGCTGACATCTATGTAAAAAAATAGCTACTATGTACATGTGATGCTCTTTTGCTTTGAACTGCTGGCACAAATCCTCCCTCTAAACAGTCATGTAAGGATGTGGGAATATGTATTTGTGTAAGTGATGGGAAATATCTCTGTTTATCCTTGGCAAGCAAGGTCGGGGGTGGGGGGGGGGAAAAAAGGATTTGCAGACCACAGATTAGTAATAGCTGTATTTTTACTGACTATGAGTGGGAGAAGTGCTAAGTGGTATCCATTACTAAGGATGCTTTCTGTCTTAAGTTTTTCCCTGGACACTCATTGTGCCTGAAGGAGTAAATGAAAGATACTAACGTGTGTGGGCATTTCTGAAAAACAGGAAATAAATCTGCAGGGGGACTCTGTGATGAAAAACATGCCTCCCAGAACTGTCACTTTAAAAATCAACAGGTGATAATGCTTTCTGTGGCCATGCTCTCAGTACACCTAGTGGTCTCTTTCACCAGGTTGTGACACAGTATCTAGAAAGGATATTTTTTCCTAACATCTCATATGGGAGAATGTATTATGTAGCAGTTTAAGTATCAAGCCCTCAGGATATCTATGGGCAACACCACTGACATTGATGGGGTTCCATTCAGGCACAGGGCTGGTCTGTCTGGCATAGCTTCTAAAACTGGGCTCTTAGTGGGCACAGATAAGTGACCTGTCTGAAAATTCTCAGCCAGACTAATGTTATACAGAACAAAGTAACTAATCTCTTAACTGTATCACAACACAATATGAGGGAGTAATATATATAGAAAAGACAAATGTGCTATCAGGCTGGTAAATTGTTAAATGTTTAGATTGAAGAAACAAACATGTCAGGAAAGGTCTGGAGAATTAAGCAGTCTGTAAGATGCAGAAAAATCTTACATACGAATACAAAAGCATCAAGTATACCTGTGGCAGAAGTTCTTACATTCTAAGCTGTTCTGCATAGCCAGACATAATCTTCCAGTATAATACATTAATTTGGGCTCACTGGAGTTCTAAAAACAGTATCACCAGCTTCTTCATGCCACAATGTCCCTGAGCTGCTGCGCTACCATGCTGAAATTTCTAGGCTTGGATTTTCTCTTCTCTATCACTGTTAAGGGTTTTGCAAAATCTTTATTGCTTGTTTCCTCCCCACACGTTTCCTCACCTTGAAGAGCCTAAATTCTAAAATAGAGGTGGAATAAAAAATAGGTTTTTTCAGTTCTTTCTTTTCCAGGGAGAATTTTTTTCCTAGCCCTTTTTCAGAGGTTCTAATTTCTTACAATAAATTTTGACCCAAAAAATTCTCAAGCGCATCTTCTGTACTTCCCATTTACACACCCTTCTCATATGCACTGCTGAGTAAAGAAAATATTCTTTAACTCATTTTGCTTTGGATTTGATTCTTGTAAAATATACTACTTCTCCTGTGCACTAGATTTTTTTATAGTATTACCCTTACTAGTTTTAACTGATTTTCGGATAGTAAATTTAGAAGTCATATTTTGTCCTTCACCCAGCATCTTGTGAAGAATGCTAGTTCTGTCAACCCAAGCTTAGTATTTTTACCTATGCTTTGTTTCTTTCAGTATTTAAGGTCAAAAGAATCAAATCAAGTGAAATCAAGTAAGTTAATAAAATGTGGTGCTTATTAGCATTTAGAGTTGAGAAGATTTCATATATTCAGGATACAAATACTACTGAAGTACAGGATTTGATATAAATATTAAATATATATAAACATTAAATATATAATATATATAGATTATTTTGCAAATGGCAGTTGA